TGGTGTAAAGAATTGTATCATTATTTGGAGAAAGGTAATGTAATCAAAAGGCCTATACTAACAACATAAATGGTGACTTTATTTCAGGATATTAATGTTTGTTTGAAGACGTATCTACATGAAGGAACAGAAAATTACCTGACTTACTAAAGGTGAATATAATGTTTTGTTGACGTTTTATTTTTACTGTCCTGTACTATCAATTATTAACAACATGCTATAGATGATGCTGTAGTTTACATGATAGAGTTTAGTCAAATTTAATGTGTATATATTAGGCCTATATAGGCCTTAAGTAATATTGAAATTGTAATGTAGGCTAAAAGCTGTTTTGAGAACTAAAAAAAAATGTTTTTTTGATTAAAAAAGAAGTAACTGCTGTCTGTCATTAGCTACATATATGTATATTACTCCTATTTCAATACAGTAATAAAGGGATGTAATACATTTAATAGCGGTTTCTATAATATGCACTCTATATACTGTATAAGTTTACCATTAGTATTCTTTTTAAAGATTTTGTTTTGTTATGTCTTTCAGCAAGAGTGAACTCCGAAAAATGTTAGTACAAGTCACAGTGATTCAATATCTCAAAATAGATTTGTTCAACGTCATAATTCATACTACTTTAGCTTGGTACCATCGGACAAGAAAAGGCATGGTTATGGACAGTTGCTGCTGCAATATCACTAAGAATGCTGGTTTATGCACATCTGTAACACAAATGGCTCTTGAATATTATTTTATATAATAAACTCTTGTATTAGGACTACATTACGAAAAAAATGCTTATTTAAACCGGACTATAAAGCAGCCTTGAATTGAGGCACAGTATGTTTAGCAGTAAGACATTAGCAAAACGATTATAAATGAAGGGGTACTGTATGCTAGTAAATGAGACCCTAGGGAAGTAATGTCCCTACCGATGTTTGTTGGTGTTATAAATTAAAGAAATTATGGTTTGTATATGAACTCATAGTGTAGTCTGCAGAAGTTGATTAAAGCCATTTTTACCAAGTGGAACTGGGACCATTGAAAACTAAAATTTGGAATTGGGGCCAGTTAAAGTTGAAGACCAGTTGAATTGTCCAAAAACACACAACACCCACATTTTTTTTTAATAGAATACACAGATTGTCTATATTATAAAATCGTTCAATTTATATACACTTTCTATACAATTGTATAGAATTTCTATTCGCATATTTAATGTATTTTTATAGGTTTTTTCTATAAAATGTTTATAGATTTATAAGTGGTTTTTATAAAATTGTTTATAGATTTCTATAGTTTTTTAAAGGTTTTTTATATAAAATTTTCATAGACATTTTATAGATTTTTAATAGAATTTTCACCCACTTTTTTTTTTTATAGAATACACAGATTTTCTATATAAAATCGTTCAATTTATATACACTTTTTATACAATTGTATAGAATTTCTATTCGCATATTTAATGTATTTTTATAGGTTTTTTCTATAAAATGTTTATAGATTTATAAGTGGTTTTTATAAAATTGTTTATAGATTTTCTATAGTTTTTTAAGGTTTTTTTATATAAAATTTTTATAGACGTTCTATAGATTTTTAATAGAATTTTCATAGTGTTTTATATAATTTTTATAGATTTGTAAGTCTTTTAATATAGTTTTAATATATTTTTTATAGAGTTTTTATAAATTTTTTATAGTTTTTTATATAATTTTAATAGATTTTTAATATAGTTTTAATAGATTTTGAATATAGTTTTAATAGATTTGTAATAGAGTTTTAATAGATTTTTAATATAGTTTTAATAGCTTTTTAATAGACTTTTTATAGTGGGCTTCTATAGTTATTTCTATAGAATTTTCTATTCTATGCTTTCACTCATTTGTAATAGAGTTTTAATAGATTTTTAATATAGTTTTAATAGCTTTTTAATAGACTTTTTATAGTGGGCTTCTATAGTTATTTCTATAGAATTTTCTATAGATTTTCTAAACAATTATGCTATAGACATTCTATAGTTTTTTTTTGATAGAATTCTATAAAAAAATTTTGTATGGGTTATTTCTGCTTTAATGATTTTCCTTAATTTCTCCTTTATAAGACTGAATTAGATGCTACTTGTTTGAAGGAAGAAATGTTTTTTGTGGACATATACCATTTAATATGATTAGACGATAAAATAAGAATATTCTCGACTCAGCCCATACAAAAAAATTCTATAGAATTCTATCAAAAAAAAACTATAGAATGTCTATAGCATAATTGTTTAGAAAATCTATAGAAAATTCTATAGAAATAACTATAGAAGCCCACTATAAAAAATATATAAAAAAAACTATAAAAAATTTATAAAAACTCTATAAAAAATATATTAAAACTATA